AATACATTTATTTGTATTTGTACTTTGTGTAGGTAGTTTTACATTTTTCCTTTTCTTGTTATTGTTGGGGGGTTTTTTAATTTTTTTGTTTGGGGTCATTTTTACGGGTATGTCAAATGCATTTGTTTGTTTTAAAAGGGGGGTTTTTTTTTGGAGGGGGTGTTATTTTTTTATCTTTTAACATTTTCATGGGTATGTTATGTATATTTATTTGTATATCGGTTAATTGTTTTATTGTTTTGTTCCTTCACAGCCGAACCAGAGCCACCAGCACCCCATCTTTGGCCTGGGAATGTACAGTTGAGGTCAGCCGCTGGAGGACTTCGTTGTTTCATGGGACGTCTGTGGGACTGTAGGACGAACTTTATCGATGTCCATGCAACCCAAGGACTTATTCATTTCATCGACGTCAGTGCGACTGAAGGACTTATCTTGTTTCATGCACATCCGTGCGATTGCTGGACTTGTTCATTTCATGGATGTCTGTGCGACTGAAGGACTTATTCGTTTCATCGACATCCGTGCGACTGAGGGACATATTCGTTTCACCGACATCCGTGCGACTGAAGGACTTATTCGTTTCATCGACATCCGTGCGACTGAAGGACTTATTCGTTTCACCGATGTCCGTGCGACTGAAGGACTTGTTCATTTCATGGATGTCCGTGCGACTGGAGGACTTATTCGTTTCATCGACATCCTCGCGATTGTTGGACTTGTTCATTTCATGGATGTCCGTGCGACTGAATTACTTATTGGTTTCATGGACATCCGTGCGATTGTTGTACTTGTTCATTTCATGGATGTCTGTGCGACTGGAGGACTTATTCGTTTCATCGACATCCTCGCGATTGTTGTACTTGTTCATTTCATGGATGTCTGTGCGACTAGGACTTACTCGTTTCATCGCTGTCCGTGTGGAAGATTGTCGCACCATGACTACATACATTTTGGGCGCAGAAACCTCAGAGCAGAGTGTGTGAACTGCAATAAAAACGGACAGAAGGCGAGAGAGAGAGAGACAAAAGAGATATACCCCCGTTGTGTGGGCGTTGCGTGACGTAAAGTGTGTTATGTGTGTGCGTTTGTGTGTACGTGCGAGCCTTTTGGATACCTTTTTTTGGCTTGTGGCCTGTGACACGGTGAATGATACCCTTGTCTACTGTGAATGATACCCTTGTCTACAGTGAATGATACCCTTGTCCACCGTGAAGGATACCCTTGTCTACAGTGAATGATACCCTTGTCTACAGTGAATGATACCCTTGTCTACAGTGAATGATACCCTTGTCTACAGTGAATGAT